CCTGTGTGCTCCGATGAGACATGGCCCTCTCCCTGACCTGCAGCTTCAGTGCTGTCCTCTGAAATAAATTCTTCTGGGGGGAGGGGCAGCTGTTTTTGACATGTTTTATTGTGAAGTAGGTGAAGGTTTCCCTAACAGTTGATGGGTCTTACTTTCACAATCCATACAAATTTTGGTTCAGCTCACCACTGCAGTTCCCTTAATATAGCATCACTCATTCCACTTCCTCTCTGCGTTTCATGTTTCCATTCCTCCTTTTTTCTCTGAACATTGTCCTTAGGTAAATGTTGCCCTTTGATCTCAAATGGTTGGTTGCTTGGATGATTCTCACATGAGGGTGAGTTCAGTTGCAGACATGAAGGCAGACTGATAGGAACCTGGGATATTCCTACCGGTCTCCACAAGACTGCTAAGCCTAGTCTCCTTTATGATTTTCAGTTTTGTTCCATATTTCTCTCCCCCTCTGTCCAGGACCTTCCAGTATCATCCTTTTCAGAGCAGTTGGTTGTAGTGGCTGCATACCACCTAGCTCACCTGGTCTCAGGGTTGGGAAGACTGGTGCCTGGGTGGTCCTTTAGTCCATGAGAGTAATAATTTCCATGTGTCTTTCCATTTTCTTGACTCTTCATTAAGAGGCAGACCGTTTCCTCTTAATGATCTTTTAAGACACCAATGCCTATTTACAAAACCAGGATTTAGAACAGTGTCTTTGGGAAGACAATTGCCCTTGGTTTTCCCGGACACTATGGTCTTGAACCCCCAGGCCCAATGACTCATTTTCTCAGTATTTGGTTATAGCTAAGAAGTTTTCATAACTTTGCATCCCTGTATATTCCACCACATTCATGGGTATATTTGCAGCTCAGGTAGGTACATATACATGAATACATGTTCTCACGGATCACGGCTAGTGTTTCTCACGGATTGTGCATATGACAAGATTTGCCTGTGTCTGCAGAATCACCAGGCCTTTCTCTCCTGCAGCACTGCTCAGGTGTGGGTGTGGGGTTCAAATCCGTGGTTTTTACATGAGTAGTTCAATGTAAACAATTTTCACGACCTAGGGACATTGGTCCCTGCCCTAGAGTCTGTAGTAAATATTCCCGTTAGGCTTCTTCTTTCTACTCTTTAGGTTTCAACTAATGGCAATGGACCTGAGGGATGTGAACTGACTCTCCTATTCTAAATAGGCCCACCTCTCATTACTTTATTCAATTTATTTCTCTTTCTGGGACTTATTTTTCTCATTTTCTGTAATCCCACACTAGATTGAAATCTATATACAGGGAACTATGGTGTCTATTTTGTTTACTGCTTTACGTTCATAACAGTGTCCATGGTAGGTATATGAAGGGGCTTCAAAAGTTTATGGGATAAATCCACCACCTATTTATTCCATTTTTCCATGGACTTTTTGAATTCCCCTGGTAGATAACGGAATTTATGTGCTGAATAAATGAGCTGCATGCACATCCTTCATATAGATTTCACCAGGGAGAGGTGCTGAATTCTACAAGGGAGGAGAAGGGGGTGGAAGGAAGGGTCAAGTCCACCCTCTCCTTGATTTGCTTCCTTTGGCAATACAATAGCCACAGGTTCAAAGCCCTCCCTGTGGAAGGGCAGTAAAGCAGACCCGGAACTTGTCCAGTACTCCGCCAAACAGAGTATCAGAATTTCTTTGAAACCCAAGTAATATCCTCCCTGAGAGTTATTCCGGCAAGTACAAACTTCTCTTGTTACCTTCCATGTCTTTATGAGTTGTGTTTAAGGAAACAGCCTGGCTGACCAGCCTCTCACCTTGTTCTGTATTATGTCAACCAACTGCGCGGTGTGCCAACCTTCGTGCCACAAAGGCGGAGGGCTCACTAAGGAGACAGGACATGGACAAGGGGGCACATGTT